CTGCTCGTCTACAGCAGCCTAGGGGATCTGTGCCAGGTCCCAAGCACACTCCCAGCCCCCAGTCTCACACCTGCCCCCCGCCCCCCTGGCCACAGGTTCTCCCCAGAGGTGCTGGGCCTGTGCGCAAGCACAGCTCTGGTGTGGGTCGTGCTGGAGGTGCTGGCCCTGCTCCTGGGCGTCTACCTGGCCACCGTTCGCAGCAACCTGAGCACCTTCCACCTGTTGGCCTACAGCGGCTACAAATATGTCGGGTGAGCACCTGGGAGCCCAGCGGGAGGCTGGCCTTGGGGAGGGCTCTGGGCCCTGGGTTCCTGGCCTGCACAGCCGTAGCCTGGAACAGTGACCCTGGACGTGCCTCTGCCCCTCTCCGCCTCTGTCTCCTCTACTAGAGAGACTGTTCCCAGCAGTCGCTTCAGGAACGTGTAGTGTTGTCAGGTGGGGAATGGACAGTCAGTCACCATGGGAGCACAGGGGAGAAGGGGCTGGAGCTGGGGCAGTGAGGGAGGTCTCAGATCCAGGTTCTGGGCTGAGTCCTGGGCCTTCAGGATTCATTCTGAGTCTAGGTCCCTGTGGGGACAGACGGGGGGTGAAAAGTCCTGGGTGGTGGTGGGTGGGGTCTACGTTGGGCTCTGGGCCCTGGCTGGTGGGGCCAGTCTCAGGTCAGGACCCTTGTGGGGGTCTCCAGCCTGCTCCCCACCCTGGCCTTGCAGGATGATCCTCAGTGTGCTCACGGGGCTGCTCTTTGGCAGCGATGGCTACTACGTGGCGCTGGCCTGGACGTCTTCCGCACTCATGTACTTCATCGTGAGTCTGGGCTGCCCCCTGCCCCGTCCTCCCCAGGTTGGAGCTGGGGATGAGCCCTCCTCCGCCCCAGTCAGCTGCAGCTCTCCTTTCTTCCAGGCGCGCTCTTTGCGAACAGCAGCCCTGGGACCCGACAGCATGGGGGCCCCGGCCCCCCGGCAGCGTCTCCAGCTCTACCTGACTCTGGGAGCTGCAGCCTTCCAGCCCCTCATCATATACTGGCTGACCTTCCACCTGGTCCGGTGACCCCTGGCCCCCACTGGCATTTATTTTTCCATACATTAAAGATTTGATTTCCTTGATTTTGTTTGACCCTTGTTTCTGGGGCCTGTGTGTGTTGGGGGAGGTGGGGAGGGTTGCTGGCACCTTTGCAGTGTCCAGGGGAACAGGTTTGGACTGTCTAGACCAGTGGTTCTCAACCTTGGCTGCACATTAGCATCATCTGGGAATCTTTTGAAAATCCTGATTTCTGGGCCTCATCCTCCGGAAATTCTGTTTCTTTGTTATGGGGTGGGGCCACAACATGAGTAACAAAGAAACAGAATTTCTGGAGGATGAGGCCCAGAAATCAGGATTTTCAAAAGATTCCCAGGTGATGCTAATGTGCAGCCAAGGTTGAGAACCACTGGTCTAGAAGAAGGGGGACCCCAGGGAGGGCTTCCTGGGTTAGTGACCTTGATATTTCCTTATAAGGCAAGTGGAAGGGTTTCATTAGGAACAGTTTTTTATGTCTGGGAACATGATGATGGAAGGGGACAGCTGCCAGGGAGACCTCGAAGGCCTCTGGTCCATCTGAGGGGTCCCCAGAGGGGTCTGTGGGCTGGTGCACAAGCCTAGCTGTGCTGAGGGTGTAGCTCATGGCTGTTCCGTCTATAGTCCCTTTGCCCCATCTCTTGGAGCCTTTCAGGAGCAGAACTGGGGCCCAGGTGTTTGCAGTAGTTTATTCATATTTTGTCACAAATGGCCGGGGAGGGGGTGCCGGACTCCTCCAGGCAACATAGAAAATAGGTCCAAGAGACAGGTGGGCTGGGTTGGGGCAAATGGGGACAGGAAGGAGTCTGAAGAGAGAGCCTGGGGAAGGGGAGAGGGCAGGCTAGGAGTGGGACTGCCCCTGCTGAGCCTGCTCATTCTGGGTGTGGGTACCCCCCCACCTGCAGGGGGAGCCTCAGGGTGGGATTGAGGGGGGTGGCCCAGAATTTCCAGGGTCAAGCCCTGCCCCTTGGCAGGGCCCCAAGTCCTTCCCAAAGTTGGACAAGGCCAGAGGTTCCGCCCCTTCCGGTTCAGCCCCACAGGCTGGCAGAGGAACTCCTGCCCCTATTTAGAGCTCTGCCCAGCCCTAGTCCAAGGGGAGTGGGCTCTGAAGGCGGGAGGTCCCCGCAGCAGCAGTTTGGGGGGTGGAGAGGAGGCCGGGGGCACCAGTGCCCCTTCCCTCCTCAGGGCTGAGGCCACTGCGGCCGAGGAGCAGCCCCTTCCAGCTGACCGCCATGCCCACAGGCTGGCAGAGGAGCTCCTGCCCCTATTTAGAGCTCTGCCCAGCCCTAGTCCAAGGGGAGTGGGCTCTGAAGGCGGGAGGTCCCCGCAGCAGCAGTTTGGGGGGTGGAGAGGAGGCCGGGGGCACCAGTGCCCCTTCCCTCCTCAGGGCTGAGGCCACTGCGGCCGAGGAGCAGGGCTGGGGGTGCACAGGCGTCCGGTCCGTTCTGGGCTCGCTCCCTGGCCGGCTTTCCCCTTAGAAACTCACCAGCGTATAAACCATACTGTGGGGAGACGAGGCAGTAAGCGGAGCCCTGAGCAGGCCCAGCTGCTGGCTGCCCACCCTGCCACACCCTGGCTTGCTCTCAGTCCTCCAGGGCAAAGGGCAGGAACTAGGAGCCCAACCATTCCTGGGGTTGAGGGCATGGTGCCTGGCGCACCCCTCCCCTGACTTCTGTGGGCAGGGCCTCACCTGTACAGATAATAGAAGAAGGAGAGCAGGTAGAAGGCGAGTTTGCACCAGGACTCCTTCTGGCAGTAGTTGAGGATGTCGGCATTCATGATGGAGACTGCATCATACATGACCTCAGAGCCATCCGCAGGGCGGTGGAAGTACCTGGGCGAGGGAGGGCCCTGAGTGCCCACCATCCAGGCTCCCACCCTCTCTGCCCGGCTCCCCCATCACACCCTCCCCGGGGCAGCTGCTTCCCTCACCTCCAGAGGTGGTAGAAGAGGAGGGGGATGTTGAGGCCCAGGGTCACCCACTCCGCTGCACACAGAAACATCAGACAGAAGAGGCCGTGGATGGAGTACTCTGGGACCACCAGCTGGGGAGTGAAGGGGAGAGGTCAGCGGCCTGGTGCCAGGACAAACCCGAGCTTCAAGGGCATGGAGGGGAGCTGGGATTTGGGAACTGCCCACCCACTGTGATCTCTGGGAACTAAAAGGGCTTCTAGCCTCCCATTCCCTCCCCGGTGGCAGAGATCTGACCAGACAGGCTCCAGAGGAGGAAGGTCACAGAAGGGGCTGAGCTGGGCTAGGAGCCTCCTGCCTCCAGCCCTGACACTGACCTTCCTCAGGAGGCAGCAGATGCGTTCGATGTTTTTTAAACGCTCGCGCTGTAGGGGAGGAAAAAGCCGTGATGGGGATAGGGGTGGTGGAGGAGCAGGTATTGGAGGAGCCCGCCGCCCTCCCGGGCTCCCGCACCGCCCTGATGTGGCCGCCAGGGGGCACCAGAGCAGTCTCGGCAGGAAAGCAGCCACACCATCCCCATGGCAACCGTCACCATGGAGGGACTTTCACCCGCATCACCACGGCAACGGCCCGGAGCTTGGCAACGGCTGCCCCACCAGGAGGAACCCAAGCCCTGAGCCCGCGCCAGGTGTTTTCACCTGCGGTGGGGACAGACAGAAGAAGGGGCAAAGCCACGGGTCCTCCTCCCTCCGCACATACACACCCGCCTTCCCGGCCCCCACCCCACTTAGCCCACAACAGATGGAAAGACAGACGGACGGACACACCTCGGCACAGCACATGTATCACTTACTGCCCGCGCTGGGTTCCCCTGGTCGATGGGGTTCTTAAAGTCGGTCCGCAGCTCATCAAAGGCTATGATCTGGGGGAGGGGTGTGTGCCTGTCAGGGTTGGAGCAGCAGCGCATGCCCCCCCGCCCTCCGTCCTTCTGTGGGACAGTAATTCATACATGGGGGCCAGACCAGATGGAGAAACGGGCTCAGGGAAGGGCAGGGTCTGGCCCAAGGTCACACGAGTCTGGAATGGAGCCCTAGTGATGCCAATACAGGCCAGTCCATGATGCTTCCTTCCCAAACACCCTGAGGTGGTGTCTTCTCTGCCGAGCCCTGTGCCAACCACTGGGGCCCCCGAGGCCTGCGACACCGCTCCTGCCCTGGTGGAAGGAACCCCAGGCCTGGGAGAACTGTGACTGCATTCCAGGGTGATCGGGCTGCAGGGCACAGGGAGAACCTGAAGTGGGTGCCTGACCCAGTGTGGGGGTGATGCAGGGTTCCGGCTGGACTCCGGTGTTTGTCTGGTGAACAAATGGGGTGTGTGTGGGGGGGCAGTCTGAGCAGCAGGAACTGCAGGTTCAAAGGCAAAGGGCTGAAAGAATATTCTGGAAGTTGCAGATTCCATGGGGTTAGAATGAAAGTGTGAGGTGAGTGGGAAGAAGAAACTAGGGAGAGATGGGCTGGAGAGGTCAGCCGTCAGCCATGGGTGCTCTGTGGGGCTGGACCGGATGTTTGGACTTGAACAAACAGGTAATGGGGAGCCATTTGAGGGGTATAATGCAGCAGAGGCAGGGAGCCAAGTTGATGACGTAGAATTGATGGAGCAGGAGTTACAAACTGGCTAACAGTTTCAGCCAAGATGTACATGGTGCGTACTCTAGGCCAGCAGGCTTTATGTCTGTGAACTCATTAATGCTTGCAACAACCCGATGATGTTGCTATTATTTCCATTTTGCAAACGAGGAAACAGAGAAGTGACCAGTGGTTCTCAACCTTCCTAATGCCACGACCCTTTAATACAGTTCCTCATGTTGTGGTGACCCCCAACCATAAAATTATTTTCGTTGCTACTTCATAACTGTAATTTTGCTACTGTTATGAATCATAATGTAAATATCTGATATGCAGGATGTATTTTCATTGTTCGTGACCCACAGGTTGAGAACCACTGGACTAGTCTAGTAACATAGTATGACTTGTGGGATATACTGTGAACAGTTGTGTAAGAGTCATTTTTCTTATACTCCTTCCCCTCACACAGTTCTCTAATGTTAGACTCTGAATCTCCTCCTTAATATTACAGCAGACTTCATGGACTGGGCTGGAGTGGTCAGAGATCTGCATATAGCTAAATGTTTCTTCACAGAGTTATTAATTTTCTGATATCACCATTGGACCTAAAACTTGAGGGCTGTGAATAATTGGGCATTCTATCCCCCATGTCTTAAAAATAGTAAAAAATATTTGAA